AACAACATGTTCTCACGCAGGAGTGAGAACATGCAAAATCTATCTTTCTCTTCCTGACTTATTTCACTTAATAGAATAATCTCCAGTTCCATCCATGTTGATGTAAATGTCAGGATTTCATTCTTTTTAGTTACTGAATAGTATTCCATCATGCATATATACCACATTTTCTTCATTCAGGAACAGTTATCTAGCAGCTGAGCTGTTGATAGACACTTAGGTTGATTTCTATATCTTTGTTATTGTGAATACTGCTGTAATAAACATGGGGGTGTAGGTGTAGGTATCCTTTTGATATACTAGTTTCCTTTCCTTTGGATGAATACCTAGTGGTGGGATTATCACTGGATCAAATGGTAGTTCTGTTTTTAGTTTTTTGGGAAATATCCATACTGTTTATGTAATGGTTGTACTAATTTATATTCCCAACAATATAGGGAAGAGTTCCCTTTTTTCTGCATCTTTGCCAGCATCTGTTATTTTTTGTCTTTTTGATAATAACCACTCTAATGGGAGGTAAGATGATATCTTATTGTGCTTTTTATTTGGATTTCCATGATGATTAGTGATGTTGAGCATTTTTTCATATACCTGTTGGCATTCATATGTCTTCTATTGAGAAATGTCTGTGCAGATCACTTGTTCACATTTAATGGGATTATTTGGTTTTTTTGCTGTTGAATTGTTGAGTTTCTTATATATTCTGGATAATTAGTCCCATATCAGATGAATAGTTTACAAATATTTTCTCCTGTTCAACAGGTTGTCTCTTTATTCTGTTGATTGTCTCCTTTGTTGTGCAGAAGTTTTTTTAAGTTGAAGTCCCATTTCTCTGTTTTTGTTGCCTGTGCTTTTGAGGTCCTAGTCATAAAATCTTTGCCTTGACCAGTGTCCCAGAGCATTTAGCCCATGTTTTTGTCTAGTAATTTTATAGTTTTGGATCTCACATTTAAGTCTTTAACCCATCTTGAGTTAATTTTTGTTTATGGGTTGTGGAGGCTGGGACTCTCCCTTCACTGAGGTCTGACTGTGGCAGCTTCTGTGGTGCTGCTCAGGTGGCAGTGGTGAGACTATTGAGATGACGAGATGGTGGCAGCAGATGTTGAGGTCCTGTGGATGCCTCCTCTTCTAGGATCCCTGGGAGGCAGCTGGTCGGGGATTGGGGGTGTGCACAGCACCCAGTCACAGTGTGCACGAGACCACCTGCCTCCCTGCTCCCTCTCTAGCTTGGCAGGAGTAGTGGGGAGGTGACTGCAGTGCTGCTGACCCTTCTGCAGATTGGGTATTGTGGAACTGAGAGTGCAGAGTGGTGTCTGTTGTAGTGACCTGACACCAGAAGCTGGCAGGACCCCACTGTGCCCACTCTCCAATGCAGGGCTGCTGTACAGTCTTCAAGCACATCCCTGATCCTTTTGGAGGCCTGCTGTGGTAGGGGAGCAACCTCCAATCTTGGGTTGTGGTGTCTGCTGGGGGAATGTAGAGTCCCAGAAATCTCTTCCCTAACCATTGTCCATGTGTGGACGCTTGCCCTAGAAACCTTCTGATCTTGCTGAGCAGATCATCCTGCATCTCTCTTTCCTGCTTTGGGTGTCTCTATTCTTCTCTGTAATGATGCACAATGATCTGTCCCAGTTGGTCCATCTGCAGGTGAACCTCTACCCACAAACTTTGATCTCCTTAAGAGTGGGCCAATATAGGCTGCTTCTAGTCTGCCATTTTGCACCGCCCCTTCATAATATTTCTTGTAGTATAGGTTACCTGGTGATGACTTCTTCCAGTTTCGAATATCTGAAAAATGTCTTCACTCTCTTTTTAAAAAAATTTTTTTTCTAAGTGTTAAATTCTAGCTTAAAATGTTTTGTTTTTCTTAATTTAGTTCTGGTTAAAGCTGTTGCTCCTCTGTCTTCTGGATTTTATTGTTTTCAACAAAATGTCATCCTTGTTGAAGGAATGTGAAGAAGTCATTCTTTGTTTCCCTGTATGTAATGTCTGTTTTCTCTGGCTGGTTTTGAGATTTTCTCTTTACCTGTGCTTTTAAGCAACTTAATTATGATGAATAGTTTAGTTTCTGTATGTGTCTTTTCCTTGGGATTTGTTGTGCTCCTTGGGTCTGTGGGTTTATATAATAGCTTTCATTAAATTGGGAAAAATTACAGCTATTCTTCAAATATTTTCATCTCTTATTTTTTCTCTCCTTTCTTTCATGGACTCTAATCACCTTAAATTAGACTGCTAATAGTTATTCTAGAGCTTTCAGTTGCTCTCTTCCATTTTTTAAATCCTCAAGTTCTCTAATCTTTCCTTATGCAATGTCTAATTTTCTCTTAGTCCTGGAAGTATATTTTTCATTTCATATATTGTATATTTCATCTCTAGAAATTCGATTTAGGTCTTTCAAAAATACTTTCCATGCTTTCCTTAATATGCTCATTTTTCTTTACTTGCATGAACCTGTGGAATATAGTTATAATAATGTTTTAAAGTTCTTTCCTACTAATTCAAACATCTAAGACATTTCTGGGTTTTTGCTGCTTGATTAATTTTTTTTCATCCATGTGGATTATGTTTTCTTTTTTGTATACCTGGCAATTTTTGATTGGATGGTAGGCATTGCAAATTTTACTTTGTTGGCTGCTGCTCTATTTTAAAAAGTATTCTTGGGCTTTGTTTGAGAATACAGTAAATATACTTGGAAACATTTTGATGCTTTCAAAGGTACCTGTTAGGCCAGACCACAGCAGCCTTTAATTTAGGCCTAATATTTCTCCACTACTGAGGCAATGCTATTCTGAGTGTGAACCTAATGCCCCTTGTATTGTAAAGGTGTTTTTGCTCTGATTGATGGAAACACCAACTGTTCCTAGCCTTATCTGAGCCTTGAAGATTGCTCCATCACCTCCTTTTGTGTGGTTCTTTCCCTAGCCTTGGGTTATTTCGTGTGCATGCACCAATCAGTATTCAACTGGAGACTTGGGGAAGATGTATGGGGAACCCTTGCCTCCCCCATTTCTCATTTCTGTCTGCTCAATTCAGGGAGACTGCTAGACTCCACCCTTCATTCCTGGTATTTCATCCTGGAAATTCTATCCGGCTTATGAATGGAAAATTAATAATATTCACTTTTTTGTGTTTCCCCCCTCTCAGGGATTGCTAACCTGTACTGCCTCTTGTCCAGTGTCTGAAAACGGTTGTTTTGTATTTTCCCCAGTTTTTTAGTCATTTAAGGAGGGAAGGTAACTATAATCCTTGTTACTCCATTTTAGTCAAAGTGGAAGTTCAGACCATGCACCCTTAACTACAACAATAGAGTGGACTTTTATGCAAAACAAAGTGGACAGTGACAGAGTTTTCATGAGCAGAGACCATTGCCTGGGATCAAGTCCTTGAAGATTATTCTTGTTTGTGGTTTCTAAAGTAATTTGTCCTCCCCCACCCCCAAATTCACACAATATCTCAAAATTCTTTTGCTATGAGAACAACTTTCTCCTGCCACAGTGGGGTGAGAAAATGTAGTGACTGCTAGATATCCCCTTAATATCTGTCCCCCTCTTCTTTTTACTAGTAGAAAAACACCTGTCAGTGGAATGTCACGTTCAACTTCTGTAAATAACCTTAAAACAAGGGGTTCCTTTCTTCTTTGTACCTTTGTCCTTTCTCCAACTGGAATTGGAGTTGATGGTTATAGCTTGAGTAGATATTTTGGACCCTGAGAAAGAAGTCCTTTGCTGGGAATGGTGGAACAGCAAGGTGGAATAGGCTTGGGTTCTTTTTTTTCTTTTTTTGATTCGGAGTCTCGCTTTGTTGCCCAGGCTAGAGTGAGTGCTGTGGCGTCAGCCTAGCTCACAGCAACCTCAAACTCCTGGGCTCAAGCAATCCTTCTGCCTCAGTCTCCCGAGTAGCTGGGACTACAGGCATGCGCCACCATGCTCGGCTAATTTTCTCTCTATATATTAGTTGACCAATTAATTTCTTTCTATTTATAGTAGAGATGGGGTCTCGCTCTTGCTCAGGGGTGGTTTCGAACTCCTGACCTCGAGCAATCCGCCCGCCTCGGTCTCCCAGAGTGCTAGGATTACAGGCGTGAGCCACCGCGCCCGGCCGGCTTGGGTTCTTAATGCCATTGTAAAGCTACATGCCACATATTTTGTTCTTTTTATCTCTGAAATTTTTTTGTAAGCATATGGAAAAATAAACGTCTCATTTCAGCCATTGCTCTCCCATGAGCATGCATGCTCGCTCGCGCTCGCGCTCTCTCTCTCTCTCTCTCTCTCTCTCTCTCTCTCTCTCTCTCTCTCTCTCTCTCCCCCTCTCTCTCTCTCCCCCCCTCTCTCTCTCTCTCCCCCTCCCTCCCTCCCTCCCTCTCCTTTCTCTCCTCTCTCTCTCTCTCCTCTCTCTCTCTCATTTTAGAGGTGAGGTCTCACTATTTTGCCCAGGCTGGTCTCGAACTCCTGGCCTCAAGTGATCCTCCTGCCTCGGTCTCCCAGAGCACTGGGATTGATTACAGGCATCAGCCACTGCACCCAGCTCCTGCCATCTTTTAAATGTTCCATTGTTCATATTTGAAGCTAATCCTAACCAATTCTGTACAGGAGAGGAGAGAAAGGAAAGGGGCAGCCAGCTGTGTGTCTGAGTTATGTATTAGTCAAAGACTGTATTTTTCATATACCTGGCCCATGCCTCTAACTTCTCAACTTATTTTAAGAGCATTTGTATATATTACATAATTGGATGCTTTCAGCATCTAATAGTTGATGAGGACAGAAAATATGTTCTCGTTTTAGAGGTGAGAAAACTAAACCTAAAATGGTATAGTAAACAACAAGTTAGTGGGAAAAGTAGGATAAAGCTCCATTTTTCTACTCCGAATCCAGTATATTATCCTCAGTTATAAACAATTTTTCCTGGTCATCTATCTCTGATATAAGTTTTTGTAGAATGATGGGGTAGGGTACATTAAGGGGAGCTACATTAGATCCTGATCATTTTATTTGTCCTTCCAGCGACAGGGTGAATCATGTTTAAGAAGGCCAACAGGATTGAGCCCAAGAGGAAAAACATAGAAAAACGAAAAAAGTTTAATCCATGGATTACACAAATCTTCAGCCACCAAGGCTATGTCACTCTCCTTACTGGCTGCTACAGTTGTCAATGGAAGTTGAGACAATGGGAAAAAACTAAACCTGGTTCCTGTTGCTGCAATCTGGTACAGAGAGATGAGAAGGAGCTGGACCACACTTTCTCAGATGTGGGGAACATGGGCTGGGCCCTGAACCCATAAGGGCTCGGTCATTAGAGTTTCCAGGACTGGGGATGCTGAGGCTCCAATTCTTTTGTGAAAGTAGTGCACCAGTGTTAAACTTACTGAAACATGTACTTTCTTCATTTTCTTTCACTTTTATTCTTTCCTTTTCCTTACTATTTATGCCATTCATTTATTCATTTTTTTTATTTTTGCATTTGTTCATTCAGTGAAACTGGAAGAAAAAGTGAGGTTTAAGTGCACTTAGGTGTGTTTGTCTAGGGATTACAGGAATGTCTGAATCTTTAATTCTTTCTTTTCCATGAGTTTCCCAACAGAGATATGCTCATGAAGGGAAAAACAAAACAAAGCAAAGCAAATGGGAAACAAAGGGCTCCTTTAAAATTGGTCAAGCTAGTACCTTATTTTCCCTAATGAAGAGCTCTAGTAAGGCTGAGTGGTGGCATGTGGCCTTGCCTAGTTGAGGGCCTCCTTCTTTCTCCAGTCCCTATGTTGGCACCCTCTGGTGGGCTATATGGTATAAGAGATCAAATGGTGAGCACACTGAAATGAGAAGAAGAAGGCCAAATCGTATACCTTTACTTATTTGTAAACATGGTCCAGTTAGGGCCAAGAATCGGACCAATTGAATCGCTAATTTCTTATACCTGAGGTGGGGAGCACAAGGAAAGGGGTGGGAAATGGGAGCCTACCCTGGAGTAGGCAGGAATGTTCTTCTGTCCCCTGTATCTTTCCTATCCAGATATTTGGCATCTGTGCTACTCACTGGGGATAACAGAAGTACTTCAGGCATGGGTCCTGCTCTCAAGGAATTCAGTCTACTAGGGGGAAAGTCAAGTATACACACAAAGTCTCAATATAGTGGGAGAAGTGCTATAATTGTGTGCATACATATGTGTGCTGCAGGTACATTCCAAGTGAGAGGCCAAAGGTAACTTTATTTAGAAGGTGAAGGGTGATTAGGAATTAGATAGGTAAAGAATTGGGGATGATGGAAGAAATGATATTGGAGGAGGCATCAAAGGGCATGATGAGTTTGGAGATTGGTATAAGGCTTATTTTAGATGGAGCAGAAGCTATGAATGGAAAAGTGACGGGAAATAAAGCTTGAAAGGGAGGTGGGTCAGATGTTGTATAGTTTTAGGAATTTAACTTCTGCCATGTAGGAAATAAAGAGTCCCTAAAGATTTTAAGCTGGTGATGTGGTTGAGCTATGTTTTGGAATGATTTTATTTGATTGTGTGGAGGACATACTGGAAAGGACAAAACATATACAGGGAAACCTCTTTGGCTTCAAAGAGAAGCAACAGTGGTACTCCAAATAAGAGATGTCATTGGCCTGGCCACCATCATAAAGGTGGAGAAGGGAGGGTAGATTCAACATATATTTGTTACTTAAGGATGAGGTGGTAAGTCACAGGAGAGCTAGAAAGAAGGACATAGACGGAAAAATAAAGGGAGACTTCATGGGAAAGGTAACATTTGAGGTAGTGTGGTATTAAGGAAAAAAATCCCTATACCAGAGCCTGGGAGTATGCATGGCTCCCAATTCTAACTCTGCCTTTGCGCTGGTTATGTGATATCTTGGAGCCCCTCTACAGCTAGGGAATTGAACTAGGTAATTCTCAAGGGCCCTGGATAATTCTTAAAGCCCCTTTCTGCTCAGGGGAGGAAGTATGGCATATAGCATAAGTCCTGATAAAGCTTGTATTCTGGGGAAAGACTACCCGGATTCAAATTATGGCTTCAGCTACTGACTATCTCCAAATTAGTGTTCCACCACTGTGGGAGCTTGGGAAAGTTACTAACATCCTTGTGCTTCAGATTCCCCACTTGAGTAATGGAGAGAATAACAGTAGTACCCACCTGCATGATTTGTTGTGAGGATAGAAGAGGTGATAGGTTAAAAAAACTTCAGATTGGACTTGGTATATAATTAATACTCAATAAATGTTAGCTATTATTGAGTTGCTGTTCTTGGAGTGATGAACTTGTGGAAGTGACATATTGAAATGATGGTGCAGGAGTTTCTGGGTGGAGGTAATAAGATGAGCAGAAGTTCAGAGATAGAGAAGCACAGTGGTATGTTTAGGGAAAAATGAATTTCCAGTGTTGAATTTAGGAACATGTAAGAGGATAAGTAGAAGTAGGGCTAGAAAGGAATATTTGGATCAAATTATGAAGCATCTTTATGTTAAGATAAAATATTTGAACTTTATCCTGTAAACAATGAGGAGCCTTTGAAAATTTTTGAGCCAGCGTGAGAACAATGAGAATCAAAGAAAGGAAATGGATTTATTCAACAAAAAATGTATCGAACATTTAATATGTGCTGCAGTGACTGAGACAGCTAAGACCTCTGGCACTCCTGAAGCTTACATTCTAGTGAGAATGTGTTAGGAAACAAACAACAAATGAAGAAAGACAACTTTGCATAGTGATAAGAGCTTTGAAGATAATATGAAAATGTGTTAGAAACTGGGATGGGAGAGTGGTTAGGAAAGATCTCTTCAAAATCGTGTTGATATTTCTCCTAAATGGACAGTTAGAGCCAGCCCTGTGTATATCTGGGGGCAGAAGTATTCCAGGCAGAGGAGCCAGCAAGTACCAAGCTCCTGAGGTGGGATCGAATATGATTGTGTTCTAGAAACAGAAAGAAGACCCAGTGTGGCTGGCATCTGTAAATGGAGTCAAAGTATAGAAGGGCATGAGGTCAGGAATGTGCAAGGGTTGACCATGTAGGATCTTGTGGGCCATGGAAGGCAGTTTGGATGATATTTCTAGTACAATAGGAAGCTCTGGGGGGATTTTGGGCAGGAGAATGACATCTGATACATGTTTTTACAGGACCACACAAGTTTCATGTAAAGTACATGTGTAAGACCTGCGTCAAATCCTGTGCCCTTTATCCTCTTACACTCTGAGGGTGATAGTTTACTACTTTGATAACCTGTAATGTATTTCTTCAGTTTTTTGGAATGCTGTTTCTATGTTTTCCATTTTATATTTTCATTTTTACTCCTCACAATGACCTCAGAATTTAGACAGGGCAGGGATTATTCTACCTAGTTTTAAAAGATTAAAAATGGTGCTCTAAAGAGGTACCATTTCTTATTTGTGTATGCAGAGGCCTTTAAGATTACAACTCTGATGGCAAACCAAGCCTAATCCTTCTGGGAAGAGTTTGTCAACTGTGGCATGGCTGATTTGTGATAGGGTTTTCATTGTGGGAGGTTGCCTTCAAGGCTCAATTTTAGTACTTCCTCCATAAAGATATCCTCCGTACTGGCTTTTGAGCTCGCATAGATCTTGGTTCTAGTCCTGTCTCTGCCACTTCTTGGCTGTGTGATGATGAGCTGATTACTTTACCTCTCTGAGCTTTCTTCTGCAAAATGAGGTTAACAATGCCTAACTCACATGGCTATTATGACAAATCAAATGAAAGTAGCTTGTGAAGTCCCTACTGTTGTACTGGTACAAAATACCTACTCAAAAAATGTTTATTTCATAACTCTGATTCCCCCTTCTTCCTCCAGTTGGGTAGATAAATGCCTAAATGAACTTATGAATGATGAATGAGTGAAATACTCAATGAATAAGTCACTGAACAAACATTTGGTAGCTGCAAAAGTGGATGAATTCAACAGATGATTGTTGAGAGCCAGCTACATTCACTGAACTATGCTAGATATTGGCAATACAGAGATGTATAAAAGACGTTCTTTTTCCTCAAAGAAGAAACAGTATAGCATCAGATACAAACATATAAACACATAATTATAGTTAAGTGTGATAAATGTTATAAATATGCACATACAAGATTTGGTAGGGGTAAAAAGAAGAGAGTGGTCACTCCAGCCTGGGGAGGATAATACATGGCACTGTCACTATACTTACTTTTGGCAAGTGTATACAGAAATTTCTGAGGGTCCATGGATAAATGGAGTTAAGTTAGACTTCTTCTTTCTCTTCCCAGAAAGAGCAATTATTTTGCCCATTCCTGCTAATTTCATTTATCTTGTCTGTGATTTTCCTGTACCTGTGGATAGAAACCTCAAATGAATACTTTAACTTTGACTGGTGAGTTTCACTTTTTGTACTTTGATTTGTGTAAGGGCGCTTTGGTCTGATAGCCACCTGAATTCCGTCTCAGGTTGAAAAGATCTAGTGGAATAGTATAGAGAGTGGACAAAACTGGGCTTTCCACAACTTGCAGTTGTGGGGCCTGCCTCTGGGGACTTCCCTTCCACCTGTGCTCAGTCTCACACTTTGATGAAATCTGGCTCAGTGGGAAGCTTTCTCTGTGCTTCCAGCATCCCCAGTCCTTTTATACAAATAATGATTCCCTGGCATCTTGTTCCTCAGTCTCTTTGACTGGGTTACTGATGACTACACTAGTGGGTTGTCAGGATCTCTGACCTTTAACTCGACCCTCTCTGCTTCTCCTATAGCCTCTGCCTTCTCCTGTTATTCTTAAGGGGCTTGTTAGGACTCTGAACTCAGTGACAGGTATCCCTTTTCAGCACCCTTTCATGGCTAAACTCTTAACTCCTGGACTGCTCCTGGCCTTTCTAGTTTTTCTGGCCTGATGCCTTCTAACCTTGCTGTAGATCTTACCCATTATTTGGTATTTGGAGGAGAAGGATATGTTTGGGAATGAGGTTTTTTTTTTAAAAAAATAGAATACAGCTATTTTTTCCTTTATAGAAGTAAAACATAGCTTGTTATTTTAAATGTAAAAAATTAGGAAATGCAGTATCTGCTTAGTCTCTCTCTTTTTTTTAAACCACTGGACCACCAGGGATTAGTCTCATTCTTGAGTGACAGTCGGTTGGTATATATTTCACAACTTCTTTTTGTATGCTTATTTTTATATTATTGTGCTCATACTGTATATACAGTTTTGCTTTCCCTTTTCACTTAAAATAATTATAAACATTTTAACCAATTTTTAAAACTCTTAATGAACATCATTTAAAATGGTTTCAAAATATTTTATGACATGAAGATACTATAATACACTTAACCATTTTTTATTGTTAGGCATTATAAATGTTTCCAATTTTCTTAATTTTACAATAGGACAGAGAAATCTTTGTATTTTTTTTATAAATTTATTTTTATTATTTTTTTATTTCATAATATTATGTGGGGGTACAAGCATTTTGGTTACATGTAATGCCTTATCCTTGCCCAAGCCAGGGTTACAAGTGTGCCCTTCCCCATACAGTGTGCTCCACATACATTTGTTATAAGCTTACCCACCCTTACCCCCACCCCTCACCTTACCAACACCCAGTGAATATTACATTACTACCATGTGAGCACCTTCGTCTTGATCAGTTAGTACCAATTTGATGGCGAAGTACATGTGTTTGTTTTTCCATTCTTGTGATACTTCACTTCAAAGGATGGGCTCAAGCTCTATCCAGGATAATAGTTCACCATTGTTTTTTATAGTTGAGGAGTAGTCTGTGGCATACATATGCCATATTTTATCAATCCACTCATGTATTAATGGGCACTTGGGTTGTTTCCACATCTTTGCAATTGTGAATTATGCTGTTATAAACATTGGAGTGCAGATGTCTTTATTATAGAAAGTCTTTTTTTTCTTTGGGCAGATGCCTCGTAGTGGGATTGCTGGATCAAATGGTATTTCTATTTTTATCTCTTTGAGATATTTCCAAATTACTTTCCACAGGGAATTAATATTTTTCATTGTACTAATTTGAAGTCCCACCAGCAGTGTAAGAGTGTTCCAATCTCTCCACATCCTTGCCAGCATTTGTTGTTTTGGGACTTTTTGATAAAGGCCATTCTCACTGGAGTTAGGTGATGTCTCATTGTAGTGTTTTTTTTTTTTTTTTTTTTGTTTTTTTTTTTTTTTTTGAGACAGTCTTGCTTTGTTGCCCAGGCTAGAGTGAGTGCTGTGGCGTCAGCCTAACTCACAGCAACCTCAAACTCCTCGGCTCAAGCGATCCTCCTGCCTCAGCCTCCCAAGTAGCTGGGACTACAGGCATGCGCCACCATGCCCGGATAATTTTATATATATATTTTCAGTTGGACAATTAATTTCTTTCTATTTATAGTAGAGACGGGGGTCTCGCTCTTGCTCAGGCTGGTTTCGAACTCCTGACCTCCAGCAATCCAGAGTGCTAGGATTACAGGCGTGAGCCACCGCGCCCGGCCCTCATTGTAGTTTTGATTTGCATTTCTCTAAAATGATTAGACATGTTGAGCACTTTTTTGTATGTTTGCTGGCCATTAGTCTGTTGTCTTTTGAAAAATTTTGGTTTATGTCCTTTGTCCATTTATTGCTGGGGTTATTTGATTCTTTTCTTATTAATTTTCTTAAGTTCTATATAGATTCTTGTTATCAGCCCTTTAAATAGAATCCCACAAGTGGTATTATTGAATTGAAGAATAAACACTGTTAAAATTCATTATTCCCATTACCAAAGTACTTCTCAAAAGGTTATAGGAATTTCTGGCTACAACAGAGGCATATGACAGTCAGTATTAAATATTCTAATTATGCATGATTTATATTTTCTTGATGGAATTATTTTTTGTTTTAATTTGAATCATTTTGTTTCAAAACTAGTTTATTTAACTGATTTCTTTTTTCATTTGTCTTTGTCTATTTGTCCTTTGGGAGTTTTCAGAAAGTTTTCTCATCAGTTCATATGCAGTTTTTATTTGTGGACCAGTTCTGAATTAGCCTGCAGCCTTTGTGTTCAATTTAAAATATAAATGCTATGGAATAAATTCATTTCTTTATGTTTATAAATTTTAAAATATCTGGCTATGAGGTCTGTAGTTGATAAGGTTTGTGCAAAGTCTAATATACAAAATTTTCTGGCTCCCCATCCCTTAAGTAGTATCGAAGTCTGGCAGCTTACTATAGTATAACAAAAATGGTATGGTGGTGGTAAGAAAAACTTCTGGTCATCAAAGTGACACTGATCACATTGGCCATTATTATTTCCAACAATGCCCTAGTCAAGCACTGGTCCATAGCCACTTTTTAGAATTGCTCTTCCAGGTGTGCTGGAAGAAATTTCCTTCACAGCAGGCTTTTACACTGACCGCAGGTGTGGCTTGGAACACTCACCATTGCACCCAAGACTGAGATGCTTATTGACCAACTTCCATAATCTAACTTGCAGCCATCCCCCACTGGTGATCCTGTACTTCCAGGATGCAGTGTGCAAGTCAGGCACAGGTCTGAGTATCAATGGAATCTTCAATCCTAGTGCAGAGTTGCTTTTTATATTTTTAGGGTAGGCATAGTCTCTTATATTCTTCATATGTTTTTACCTTGAAGACTACTTTGTATGCTATTAATGTATCTATGCTAGTTTTGCATGGTTTATCTTTTTCATCCTGTTTCTTTTTAACCTTTCTGTATCTTATGTTTGGAACTTTCCCTTGTAAATAGCATATGGTTGGGTTTCTCAAATCCAGTTTGGCAATATTTGTCTTTATGTGCCAAATAAAAAGACATCTCTACACTAATAAATTACCAATACATTTGAGTTTACATCCATAATCTTCCTAATGCTATTGTCCTATCAGTTCTGTATTCTTTTTTCTTCTTTTCTTACCATATTTTCTATTAAGTATTTATTATTTCATTCCCCCCCATTAACTTAGAAAGGTATACCCACATTTATCTATCCTACCCACTCTTGCTATTTTTTTGGAATCTACCCTGGAAATTACAACATGTAATCTTGCCTCATCATACTTTAACTCTTTTCTGGATAATACAAGGATCTTGAAGCACCTTAACTTCATTTACCTCCTTCTGATTTATAATCCATTATTGTCATATATTTTAATCCTATATACATTTTCAATCACATATGACATTATTTTATATAGTTAATATTCTTTTAGATTAACCTACCTATTTACCATTTTTATTGCTCTTCATTTCATCATGTATTTCTGATCTTTCATCGATCTTCTTTTTCTGCATGGAAAATACCCCCTATGTGTGCCATGAAGGTGACTTTGTTAGTAAGAGAAGAGGCGTGGGCTGTGTGAGCTAGTATATAAGGACCGAGAACTGACCTGCTGAGCATTCCTCTAGGCATGCAGCCCCGCTAGTCCGCAGGTGACTCTGGTGCTGGTAACCATGTTCACCATGTTATGGGATAAAGTGAGGTCAGGCACCGTGCCCAATCATGGAGCTGGCTGGAGCGGTGGCCATTAATACCAGATCTGCTCATCACTAAAGCATATGCTTTCCACCCTGCACTGCTGTTTTCCAAGTAAATAAAGGACACATCAGGTTTCATTTCTCAGCATGTATGCTGAAACCTAAAATTCATTTATGCAGCTTGTGAATCTAATAGGAAATAGACTCTCACTAAACAGGAACTTTCTAGGAAACCAGTTAAGCTCAGTACCATACAAATGCTTATAAAGAACAAAAATTATAACAAAAAACTGAGAACAACTTGAATATAAAACAAAAAGAACTAAACTGGAATGCCCAATACTGAACCTATACACTAGTTGGGAGCCGGTTGAGTGAAAACTGCATAGGGTTAAAAACTGTTACTCTTTTGGTAAAAACTGATGTGTCAGAAGCTGTTTTAACAAAAATGTCAGACATTTTTATGGAACTGCTTAGTCTCTCATCCCTCTTGAGTTAATTACCAGAGACCCATGGAGGAGTTAAGGGCTTCTGAATTATGTGCAAAATGTTGTAAGTATACTTGTGCATTTTTCAGGATGGTTCCAAGTTTTCACCAAGTTTCCATAGAGGTCTGTGACAGCCAATGCTCCCTGCTCTACTGGAATCCAGCTTTGCATCTCACACCAGTAGGTGTCCATGGGATGTCATCGAGACTCAAGGAAGGACCGATGTGATACTTGCTCCTGAGCATCCCACAGTCTTTCAAAACTACTTTAGAGAATAAGTAATATGTACATGATTCTTGTATCTGGAAGTGAGTGAAAATAATGAAATCACAGAAGTAAATATACAAAGTGATTGTCACTCACCTTTTTACACACTATGACAGATTGTCTTTCTCCCCTTTGCAACTGAGAGCATTGAAAAG